ACCAAATTGCCACCCATGTTGATTTTCAAAAGGAAAACATTTCCAAAAGAAGTGATTCCGCGAGGAGTTGTTGTACATGTACATGAGAAAGGATGGATGGATGAAAATGGAATGAGAATATGGGTTGAAAAGGTCTGGTCCAAACGTCCTGGAGGACTTCTGAAAAAACCTGCCTTATTAGTGCTTGACCATTTTAGAGCACATATTAGCAAACCAATAAAAAAGTGTTTCAAAGAAGTGAAGACTCATCTAGCTGTAATTCCTGGAGGTCTTACCAGCCAGTTGCAACCTCTTGATGTTTCCATCAACAAGCCATTTAAGGTCTTAATGAGAGAAGAGTGGAACAAATGGATGACTGCTGGTAATCATGATCTGACACCTACTGGACGAATGAAGAGGCCCACCATCACTCAAGTTTGTGAATGGGTGAAAACATCATGGGATTCAGTGAAGGAGGAGATCGTTGTACAGTCATTCAAAAAATGTGGCATTAGCAATGCCTTAGATGGAAGTGAGGACGATATCTTATATGAAGACAGCAAAGAAAGTGATGTCAGTGATTGTGAGCAAATGAGCTTCCTAAATTCTGACTCTAGGTGATGGTGAGTTCTTGGGGTTTCAAGAAAACTAGAGTACACAAACCTTTAAGTCTCTCCATTTATTAATGACAGTGGTAATGGTTCTTAATGCCACTGTTGACTGCTGTTCACTTTACATGGTTCAATTGTTATTCTGTTATAGTTTATTAAATATTTTATTACACTATTTGGTTCAGAATATGTTTCCCTGTTTTCCTCCTCTAAAAATTAGGGCGTCCTAAGATCAGGTGCGTCTTATGGAGCGAAAAATACGGTAATTTTTGCAGGTGTGTTCTTGTGTGTATTTAAATATCTGAAAAGTCTGCAGCTTTGCTGTGTAAGGTATCTGAAAGCCTCAAACTGCTTTTATAGCCACAGTAAAGATTTTTTTAGGATTGCCACTCTTCAGTGTTCCAATAAGTTAACAGCTGCTATACACAATGGCAAATTGAGCATCTTAAAATTTTGGTATATTTTTTCTTTCTAATCAGATTGTTTGATTTTACCTCAGAAGCACTGGTACTCTGACAAAATCTTCACACTTTTGAAAGAGTAGTATCAGTTCACCACATGTAGCAAAGGAACAGTATTTTTCAGTACCTTGAAGACTTGGAAGTTTTCTTGGACATAAGTTTTGATGAACTGTAACCCAGTTTTTCAGATAGTATTATGTTTGTGCACAAACCATTTCACAGTATTAGACTTTGTATCAGTGGGGACTGTAATGACTTTATTATTTTATGTCAAGTCAGTTCCATGATCGATATTGGAGCAGCAGGAATTGCCTAGAGAGGTTGCGTTTATTGTGTGATTCATTCTAAATCTTTGTTAAATTGAAAGCAAAATGTAGTTAAAGCCTTAATTTTGTCCACCTACACTAGAAAGCAGTTGAAGAGGAAATTGTTTTACTTACATTCAAATGATCTTTTTCTGTATTGCACAGCTATACTTATAAGAAATTGTGATTCCTACCAAGTGACTTAGATAAGAGTTTTGTTTATTTTTGAATGCATAGCACCAACTGCTTGTAAACAGCACCTATCTTTAAATTATTATGTATTCCTGCCATGATGCTAAAATGTGAAAGACTTACAAATCATTTGATGTTGTTGACTTCTGTTTAATGATAGCAGACTGTGATCAGTAAGCAAAAGAAATTCCAATTGCAACTAATTGAGCTAGAGTTAATCTAATTTAAAGGTTTACAGACTATTTTTATTTAGCCTTTACATCAAGAAAAGAAGTACCCAAACTAGCAGAAGCAGCTTGAGTAGGTTTTTTTTATGTTAAAGGAGATGATGGGAAAACAAAGTGTCAGATTCTTGTAAGCCCACAATTTGTGACTTTCTCCCTGCAGAAGGAATGAAAGTGCTCTGTAAAAAGCAGGTCATTTTTTACCTGCATCCTTCCACACTCATTCAGTGCAAGTAAGAGAGGTGCATGACCTCAGATTTATTACTGTTTGTGTGAATTCATCACTGTCTCCTACTTCTGAAACCCAATCTGAATACTAGATTAGCAGAGACTCTAAATGAACCATCGAATTAGTAGTGACCTTGGAGGGGATCTTTTTAAAGCCCCATCTCAATGCAGGATGCAGCTACAGCATTTCTAAGAGATGTCTGTCCAACTTCTCCTTAAATGTTTCCAGCAAAGGAAGGCCCACCATCTCCTGAGTAGGCTCTGAACACTTAGCAGTTTATGCCAATGTTGTCTCATAACAATTCTAATGTCTGCATACTTGAACTTACAGTGTGTAACTTACACAGCATTTCAGCTGTTAATGCTGAATTGTTGTGTCTGTTGGTTCCTACACATAATACGGATACTGGGCGCAGATGAAGATCACTCTGTGTATGATTGTTCATATACAATTTTACTTTCATTTTGTATAGCTTTCAAATTTTTTCTATAAAGGGAACAGACCTGTCTGGAGGATGGTGAAATTCCTTGGTTGCAATATCATGAAGATATTGGAAGTAGCAGTGATGAAGAAACCGATCAAGTGAGCCATTTTGTGCATCCTAGTATTTTCATGTTGGATGGAAACAACAACCTAGAAGATGATTCCAGTATGAGTGAAGACTTAGATGTGGAATGGAGGTATGTGGGACTGTCTCTGGATTTGTCATTTGACCCCAGGTCACTTGTTATTGGCTATCTGCCAGTGCTGATTTGAGTTGTATTTTGCTCTCATCTTATTTTTAAAATTAAATAAACAGTTGAAGGAATGGTATGGTGAATCATCAGTATGGCAGTCATATCTCATTGGTCAATGGTTTAGAGACCCACAGTTCTAATTCCCAAAGTAGGCTTAATATTAAGCGATGCTGCTGTCCAGTCACTGTACTGCAATCTGGAATGGGTGCTTCCTCCCTCTTTTTGATGCCCCATTTAAAATGTATCAGAATTTTCAGTAGAGTGTCATAAGTAAGGAGGGGAAAGAATATACAGCAAAGTGAGCTTTCTCATTTTACCAAACTTATATGCTATTTATATGCTAAGAAGGAAGAATTGTTAACATATAGAATCAAATTTGGGGTTAATCCATTCTTGTTTTCATTTAATGTGAAAAAATGGAACTTGCTTACAAGGCCAGCTGAGGAAAGGGGAAATGTTTAGTTTACCACTTTCTGACCCGTTTAGAAGTCTTAAACATTGTAATTCTTGCTTTGGAAGTTGCAGGTATTTCTAACTTTTTTGTTTGCTTTCTACATGATTGCGTGTCTTCAGTTTCTATTGCCATATATCACTACTATTAATATGGAATAGTCTAAAACCCCTCTTAAAAATTGATATTGGAGGCTGGCAGAAAAACTATCCTTTAACTTACTAATCCCAGTGCAAGTGTTAACACTTACAGACCTATGGAGTCAAATGTTGTCTGTTTGTGATAACATATTGAGAATATAACTTCTCAGGTTAATATTTGATTGCATATGTCTTCCAATATGTATAAAATATGTATTTCGAAATTCTAAGAACTGGGGGAGGTAATTGTATGCAATACTGTATAGTAAACCAACATGGATTCAGTTGAGATAGGAACATTAATAATGTTTTCCCTTTTAGGCTTCTTGATGAATTTGGTGATGGCCTAGGTGTGGCTCAAGCCATTTCTTATGTGGATCCACAGTTCCTTACATATGTGGCACTGGAAGAACGATTGGCACAGGCAATGGAGGTAATGCAGTACTTCAGTAAGTTTCTGTTTTAAGATTAAGTGAACTGAAGTAAAACATGATAAAAACGTATTTATATTAGGTCATCATTAACTTTACCTGTGAATTAGTCATGTTAGCATTTTTCATTTTTCTGCATCCAAAAAAATGGAGTTTAGTGTGTATTATGGAAAGGCTTTCCTGTGATCTTGGTTTGCTGGATAACTATTATATCAAAGCTGTTGTTGGGATCACAAGCACAGCCGCTATGGAAAAGCTAGTTCAGTTATGGTGATGATACTCCTACAAATCCTTGGAAACCAAGCCGCCATCCTCAATCAACAAATTGTAAACTGATGACTTCCCACTTACCTGCCCCCCAAGCACTAGGAGGTACCTTCATAAAAATGCTGTATGTCCTGTATTCTAACAGATAAGCTTCCAGCTAGAACCAGTAGAAGTCATCCTGTCAAGCCACATATAGCCTTGTAGTTAGGAGGGTGGCAGCTGACATATGTATCCCCTTCCACAACTCCTCTTGAAAGAGTTCACATCCAGCCAATTGCCCTATCGCCAGGAAAAAAATCCTGGAACACACAGCATGGCAAAAGAATAGAGTTGCTCCTTTTCGTAATGAGTGATTTGAAAGAGATCTATCCATCTGCCCCATAAGATGTAGGTGTGCATTGAGAGGACTTGGTGTCATACTGTCATGCTAAAAGCGATGAAGCGATTTAGGAGAAGGCTAGAGCGTAGGTGGAGGAAGAACCCAACAGATTATAATTGGATAGCTGTCAGGGTCGCAACTAACCTTTACCTGACTAAGGTAAAGGCTGCTTGTCGAACATACTTCGCTAACCGGATAAGCGAAGCTTCAAATCAGCAGGCGGAGTTATTCCATATAGTGCACGACCTATCCGGAATTGGTCCGGGTGACGGGTCTCCCTCTAGTTTTTCACCGGATCAATTTGCAGCTTTTTTAACATCTGAAGTGGAGGCCGTCCACCGGGAGCTCTTGCCCAGTAACTTTCGATTCCTTTCAGCCTTTGACGCCTGATACTGTGGACAAGGTGCTTGATCGCTGTCGGGCCACCACCTCCTCCCTTGACCCTTGCCCGGCCTGGCTAATCAAAGCATCCAGGCTGATAACAACAGAATGGGCCACAGCAATAATAAATGGGTCATTCCTTGAGGGCAGGTTCCCACCTTCACTCAAGGAGACACTCATTAGGCCCATAAGAAAGAAACCTAATATGGCAGTGGACAAAATTGGCAATTATAGGCCCATCACCAATGTTTCTTTCATGAACAAAGTGGTTTAGAGGGTGGTGGCTGACCATCTTCAGGCCCACTTGGATGAAACAGATGC